GTCACTGCGTCCGAAATAAAAATGTAAGATTATGACACATCGAATTTGTATGAATGTGTTTTTTGACTTGAAAAAACTGGATCATCCCGTGAAAGAAAATTACATGGATGATAAATTGCAATACATTCGTTAATTACAAAAATCAAGACGAGCCTGAAATTTAGGCGTGATTTAATTTGAGGTTGAAAGTTTTTTTACAACGAAAATTAGGAGTGTAGATACTAATTATTTTCTAACCGATTTGCATTCGGCATATAGATTGCATTGCTGTACCCCCAAATGATTAAATGTTAAGACAGGATTTGGATTTTGGAAAAAAAGATGACCTAACAGAAAATTCGAGGCCAAACTTTTAGCTTAGCTTAACTTATTATAATGAGTTCTAATCATTGAAAACTTAGAGGCATTAATTTGCAAGTCAAAATTGTCCCATTTTAAGAGATGCTGGCGAAAGCGTTATAAAGCTTCCCTTTACGGCTAGTGGAAATATAATCAAGAGGTATTTTTTACGACCCAGAACCACATAAAATAAATAATGGCTGGATGCGGCATCGCGAGAGTAGATAATAATGCGCTTTAAAAACGTGTGATAACGGCTGATGGAAGGCCAACGTAACGAGCTGCAGCGACGATATTGCGCGGTAAATTTGCAGTACAAAAAGGATTTGGTACGAATTTTGATTGGATTTTGTTTTTTGTGAGGTCTGAGGTAGAATTTTGCAAGTTATGATAGACAGAAAGACATCGCCTAGAGTAGCAAGAAAAAAATAAACAGATGGATTTGACATAAAGAAAAGCTCGTCGATGCAGAAGCAAGTATAAAAATCCATTCACAAATTGGTTTAAAAAAATTATAGCAAGGGATTCATAAACATCCGAACATTGGTGAAAAACGCATCTCACTAAGGCTCAAAATTATTTCAAGGAATAATAAAGGAAGGCGACCAAGTAAATGAGAAACGCGTACAGATACGAAACAGTAGCGAAGGCGGACATCTTGACTCGAAGGAACAGCAAAAGTTTGGTGATTCAATAATTGGGAAAGTTAGACGACCACGAGAAGAAGATAAAGTTATCTGAGGAGCACCGACCAAGAGAAGCAAACGTAGCAGTGATCATGACGGATGAGGGAGCGAACCCTCGGCGCAGTGGGACCGACGCAAGGGGGCGCGCCTTTTGGGGGGACGGTGCCAGGTGTCGCGTCAAGGAGGGACGGTGCTAGGGGTCGCGTCAAGGAGGGGACGGTGCTAGGTGTCGCGTCAATGAGGGACGGTGCTAGGTGTCGCGTCAAGGAGGGACGGTGCTAGATGTCGCGTCAAGGAGGGGACGGTGCTAGGTGTCGCGTCAAGGAGGGGACGGTGCTAGGTGTCTCGTCAAGGAGTCGTGCTAGGTGTCGCGTCAAGGAGGGACGGTGCTAGGTGTCGCGTCAAGGAGGGGACGGTGCTATAGGTGTCGCGTCAAGGAGAGGACGGTGCTAGGTGTCGCGTCAAGGAGGGAACTGCATAAGGTGTCTGAGATGAAAGACTGCGCTAAGTGACCTCTACCCGCGGAAGTATTTGCGATGTTTAATTAGGCATCAAACTCAAGCAAGTATAGGCTGTTTCAAAGTTAACGTTGTCAAATCATTGGAAAAATATAACCCTTCAGACGGTGGGACACTACAGGTATCTTCGGCACCCCAGCTTCGTCGATACAAGAAACTTGAAGAAAATATATCATTACATCTACGCTCTGCAAACAAAGACGTGCAAAAACAGAAAGATTGTGTGTGAGAGAACTTGGCTATAGGCTTTGGTCGAGGGTGTGAGTCCCACTAGGCAGGAAAGTAGGCCTCGCGACACTAAGCGTCAGGATCAAACGTAGAACATAAGATCTATCGAGGATTACAATCTCAATGATAAACAGAATTCTAATTTATAATGTTTATGCGGCAGCCAAAGATTACTAATCCACCCATACTAATTCAAATCCATTACTAATCCACCCATATTGAAAACAAAATTGGAATTCTATATATATATATTTCGATTAGTCTTCAGCCGAAACACGGTATAAATGACGTCTCAAGCGTTGGTCGATGATACGAGCTGCATTCAAATTAATTCCATGGAATATTGTACAAGAGTTCATTATTGGACCAAAACGTTAGCACGAAGTAGCTGAGCAAAATATGTGAGAAGCGAGATACTAGAGAGAAAATACGGTTAAAATAAAATGTATCATTGGCCAAATGGCTTCCTTCGTTAAACTTTTTGCTTTAAGGGCAATCTTGAATAAGACTCTCTCTCGTCATAGTAAGAAAAAGTTGAGAACCAATTAACCTCTCACGATATATACAGTTTACTCTGCATAGAGTTATTAGAGTATTATGATCTGCTTCTGGCAACGAAGGACAAGAGATAGAAGTTTTCCAGCCACTATTGCACCTGCGTGCAAACACATGCGTGCAAAAATTTTTTTGGGGTACAAGAGCATGCTGAGCATATTGTTTTCCATGTGCGTTTAAATTGAACCAACCAATACGATGCAGATAAAGCTAGGATTGTCTGAACGGAAGCGAATCTCGAATTGGACCGAATCTCGACTCCAAACGGTCCAAGAAACCAGTTCCTCCTAGTGAAACGACGAGCAAAATAAAACGATATGGCCAGTTTTAAGCGTTAAATATTGCTCTAAAGTCTAAATGGTTGAATTCAGGTAGGCATAATACAAACTAAGATCAATAGTAAAATGAAAATCCGGTAAGATATCACTGAACCTATGGGCTACTGCATCAAAACTAATTTTACGACACCATCAAGAAAATGTTCAAAGCTCCTGGCGACCGTTACATCGGCGGAACGCATCATTAGCTGCTACGGACACGAGATGACCACAAGGTACAGTCGAGCGCTTCCATCGCGACGGCAGAATAGGAGGTCCAAAACGGGCTACAATTTATGGAGGCCAGTGAATAGTGCTAATGGACCAGTGATATAAAAATCGATGCGGTACCTTGAGAGATATTATCCAGTGAAGAAGAGTCATAGAGATAAATGGCAGTGAGCCATATTCGCTGGACGCTGACGCTGAGTAGGAATACCATGTACAGGTACTGTAGTGGTAAACTATGTAGTAGTAAATATATAAAGTAATCATACTCATTTCCTAAACAAAAGTGGTAGCAGCAAGATGACAGAACAAATTAATCCCATGCAGTGTGTCTTATAATCACTGCGACACGGCTTATAAGAAGAACCAAGGAATATGTGAAGACCCCGTCCTCCATCAGGGATGGCGCAATCTGCATTTGGACAGAACCTTTTAACGCATGCATTCTGAAATTGAGCTAAACTCAAGGCCCATACAATTAGAGTTACGAAACTCCTTCATGTACTATTTCATGAACGATTCAACGTTCTAATATTCAGTTTGTGCGTAATTCAAAGTACACAGCGCATTCCTCGCTACACGCAGTATCAGTGAGCGGTCAGTCTCGTATCACGCAGATCTGAAAAGTCAGTTTTACACACCAAGAAATGGTGGAGACGTCCGAGCTTGAGTCAGCAGATGAGATGCATCTACTCAGGGCATGACTAAAACCCCATTTAAGAGCGCAACACAGCTCTTCCATTTACTTAGAACAGTTAAAGCGCAGAGCACCGTTCAGAAACAGGTTTTTTAAATGTCCTACGGAAGAACGACGTTCCATGAAGCCTGTCTTTTATCAAGGGAAGAATTTTCAACACTTTGAAATACAGGACAAGTGGGTTGTTAAAGTTCATTATTTTAATTTGCAGTCAAAACCGTTCGGGAGCTGAGGACGCAGGATTTTCAGCAGTGGTCCTGGAATTTTGAAATGAGACAACACGTTCTCTCATAAGCAAAGTGCTTCCGAAGTTCAATTATAAAAGTTAACAACTTTCCAATAAGCCCGCGCGATTCACATTAAGAGAGGGATATTTGCTTATAATAATACATTATTAAAAACCTGAGATTTTAATGAGCAAAGGAATGCCGAGACCCATTCTTAATGATTAGTTTTTTAAACAGGTTATTAAGGGGATATTGCAAGAGGCGTTTAGGCTCAAAGAAAATTGCTATGCACGTTTTCAAATAAGTTAGCTTCGTGAATAGAAAACAAACGCATTGTGTACATGTACGAATACATCATTAGAATGCATTATAATTCATAATTATGTTTTAATAATTGCAAATAGCCCGAAGATCATGAAATTCACAGTTATAACTAATGCTGAATAACGATATTAGAGAACAGTTGACGTAGTCAGCTACAAGATCCAATAAATCCGCACTCGCTCTGAACTGCAACTCTAGAATTAATTTCACGTTATCAAACAACGTAAAGCTAATCCATCGATGCAATGAAAATAATTATTGGGCTAAGGACTTCTGAAACATTGAGAAGGAAATAAAAATTGAAAATTATTAGTAAACCAACAAAGCATCAGCGAGTTGATGGAGTCGCAGGCAAGACGAGCTTATGAAGAAAGTGCGGATCCTTGTAGAAGCTCACATCAGACCTCCGTAGCGGATTGGATCGATGATCCGGGAAATCAGAACTGTCCGGAACGGCCAGACTTCGCTGGTTGCCGCTGCACTGAAGCAATTACGGGTTATTAAAGACTCTGTAATTGCGATCGATGGCTGGGACTTAAGTGCATTACAATCGGGCTGTCGGGGGTTGCTCGCTATACGAAGGAGGAAATCTATTCTCGCTTCGGATTATTCAAACGTCGTGAAGATAAAAACATAGCATCTTCATGTACGATCTTCCAAACCAATTCTGACAGTAAATCTCATATTCGATTCAATTTCAGAAAACGAGAAAGCAAATAAATACGTTTTGCAAATATCAGACGAGTAGCATTGGAATGTTTTATCGTTTAACCTGCATTTTTAAAGAGTGAATAAGCCCAAAGGAGAAATTAAAACGTGCACAAGGCTCAAAATATTAAGAAACCGGGAAAACTAAAATAAAATAAGGAGCCTTACACGTTTCACGCGGCGAGAAGCGTATCATTGTCTGAGAGGTGAGGGAAGCCCTCGGAGTAAGGATTAAAGGGCGCTAGTTTGTCTTGAGGGTCGTAGAAGCGGAAGAGGGGGAACACCCAACCGAGGGAAGGCGCAAAAACACGCGAGCTGTAATGAGGGAAGCTGGAAATTAAGAGAGTTCTGTCGCTTACGGTGTTGTCGGAGTTACCTTAGAAGAACAAAGCGAGGGGCGTCAATGGGGTGGTAAATAGAAGTTTAACAAAAAAAACCCGAGCCAAATTAAGCAATAAACATGCTTAGAAAGAAACCCAAATAGCGGCATAAAGCGTAAGTAATTTAAGCATAAGTATCAATAAAATCTAAATCAATTTCTTTGGAACAAATTTCAAGAAAATATTAATCAAGAAGGTAATGACGGGCTAGTTTCATGGAAATCGGAATTTATATTTACTGCAACATGAATACGTTCATTTAACATTCATGTTATTCTCAAACTAAAAGAATTTGAAATTTCCCGCGGAAATAATATTGAAGAAACTTTTTTGTTTCGCTTTTTCTGAGTGCGCAGCAATCCAAGGTAGTATTGGAACTTTATCAGAAGGTTGAGCATGGAATGCATTAACTTTTCATCCGGCTTTCTCGCCGCAGATGCACACGTACGGAAAAATTATTTCTCCCGAGAAAAAAAACCTTCTCTTTTTGAATCATTAAATTATCCAAGAAACAAGAGGATTAGAACCACAAAGATACCTTCATACATGAAACTCTTAAGAGACTTTTCATCACTTCAGAGCCATTCAGTGACCGGGTAGACACACACAGACAAGTAGACGGTAAATGCATTCAGTCCGCAAGTGGAGCCCTCGGCCATTATTGTGCTCTGTATTCAGATGATGAACATCAAAGACGCATCAGAGCTCCGTGCTGTCATTCCAGGAGATTTTTGAGGACCGCATAAGTGCTTAATGGCCGAGGGGAGAGTCGCGGCTATAGGACGTCAAGAGCGTCAACTCAAACGAGATATGAACCAATTCAGGGAATTCATTCCACAATACTGAAGTAACAGAAAAATGAATATTACAAAGAGGGTGATAGAATAAGAAAAATATAAACTTTCAATGTATAATAAGGCACGTCAGACGAAGAAAAAAGCGTGTCAAAGCGGAGCAAAGAGGTACATCTGTGGAAACAACTTGGTTTGAAACCGAGATCGGAACTCACTCAGAATGCCTGATAGACCCAAATTTTCTTTAACAAATTCTGTACTATGGGTTGTCAACCTTCATGTCAATCCAATTCATGAGTACCTAATCTCCAGCGAAAAAAATACAAGGAAGAACATATACCTGAAGTAGGTAACATACAAATGAGATCAAATAAGCCATTGAAAATTAATACTCAATACACGGTAGCTTTCCTTTTAGCATTCGTCTCCCAGATCGAATTGAACCCCGAAACTGGAAATTAGTTACCCTTAATTAGGGAGAGAACCCTGACATAAACAAGGTCTTTCTCCAGCTAGGGGATTGGCGTGACCGAACCACATTACACGGCCCTGCATGTACAATTGTACACGGGGTGCGGCCGGGTAAGGCTTAATATAATGAGGAATGGAAGCACACGGTAAATAAGTCAGATATAGGGGGAAATTTGTGTGGATATTGTGGCTTCAGGGTGGAAAATAAAGTAACAAGACTCAAGGTATGCGTTGTGGAATTTAAACTACAATTGTACACGGGGTACGGATAAGGCTTAATATAATGAGGAATGGAAGCACACGGTAAATAAGTCAGATGTAGGGGGAAATTTGTGCGGATATTATGGCTTCAGGGTGGAATATAAAGTGCTAAGACTCAATGTATACGTTGTGGAATTTAAACTTGTTATTTTAAGAATGAATAAATAAATTAAGTAAGTTATAATCAATTGAAACCATTATACGCATGCATCCAAAATGTGCAGAGAAGTAATTCATGCATACAAAACACATTATTTTCCAGTGCAAAAAGAACATTTTCGTATCCAAAAACATCTAATGGGACGACGAAAATAGTCGCCCATTACACGGAGAAACGTCTAGCATCAAAATACGCTACATTGAAATTGTAATCTTTATAATAGCAACAGGGTACTATTCAGCTTAATAAATTCCCCGAAGAAAAAACATCAACAGACTTCTCAATTAACTCTGACTAGAGATAATTTCCGAGACGCAGCGTCTGCAAATCTCACTGAACGAGGGCTATAAATCCCGCTGCTGCCAATATCACACAAACAAACTGATTGGCTAAATCGAAAGGAAGAGTAATAGCGTATACTATAGGAGCTGAATTGCACTGAAAACTATTGTGCTCGCCATGTCCGTCTGTCCGTCCGTCCGTGACTTCAAGTTTTCGTCGGCGAGAAAATGCGCTCTGTTACTCACTGCAGTGAGTACAGAGTTATATTTTTTTTGTCTGTTTTCAGTGGAACAAAAATAAAAAGACGCGAACAGACAAAAAAATATAACTCAGTACTCACTGCAGTGAGTGACAGAGCGCATTTTCTCGCCGACGAAAACGTGAAGTCACGGACGGACGGACAGACGGACATGGCGAGCACAATAGTGCATTTCTTCCATAAATGAGAAAATGCGCTAAAAAGAAGCTGGAGGAGAAAAATTTTGCTACTGTTTCCATAAGCAGATTGTAATCGCAATGACTTTCGTTCTCCCACGAGTGTGGGAATTTCCCTTGATATATGTTTGATGTTCCACGAAGAAGCTGGCATAACATTCGTGTTCAGGAAGTGCAACATTAATCTTCTCGAGCTTACGGAAGTATATTACATGAATACATGACAGGATATCACAAGAAAATAATACTGGTGTACGACCGAGCACACGTAAAAAAATTGCAGTGCAAGACTGAATAAATTTAGTACGCAAAAGAAACATGTGAAAATTGAAATCAATACAAATGTACTCGCATTTAAACGACCGATATTTCACAACTTCAGCTTTCAAAGTTTTCCGAATAATTAACGCAACTAAAGTAAGAAACTAAATAATTTTACATTATTACAAGCCCGGTACCGATGATTTTCAACATGGAAAATAATTAATCGAGACCACATTTCGCAATTAATTATTACCAATTACCACATTTAAGAGTAGCTAGCGCTACATGACAGAGAAGGATATCATAATGCGTATCATTTCACACTATTTTTTTTTGACCGCGCGCTCAATATACCGACGGTCAGTATTGTAACGGCCTGGACCAGCTCTATCCCAAATTTTTTTCGTACGCCCCCTACAAGCGGCAGACGCGGACATCCCTTTACGTAGGGGGACATCGATCGCGTGGCGTATAGGAGGAAGCGAGGGCTCGCCACGTGCGACGCGGCTGAATGAGGGGAGAGCGGAAGGAACAAGAAGGAGGCGAGGGATACGAGAATGAGGGAAGCAGGAATGGAGTCAGGAAAGTAAAAAAAAAGAATAAATCGAGACTCGAATAATCGGAGGTAAATTTTATGGCTGAAAAATTGATCAAATCATTCAAAGAAGCAAATTGAAAATTGATTATAGCTTCAAATCGACAAAAAGATTGCAATTATTTTCCTTTCTGACATTATCATTACTTTTTATGAAGTTTAATTTGCTCCGATATATTCATTTCTATTACTCGTTGCTAGCAATTGATTGCAAAACCAAAGCACATGACTTAATTGTCTAGGGCTATTTGTGAAGATCTCATGATTGGGTAAAACGGATAGGTATAGAGTGATAAGGATCTGGCATGAAGAAAAATTCATCGACTGCCTTCTTCTCGAGCTTTCATCCGCCATCATAAATAAAATCGATAATGGAGTCATAGAAAGATCAATTTGCAAACGCATCACATCAATATTTCCAATTATGTTAACCACGGGGCGATAGGGTAACACCTGGCATAGGAATGATCACGTCTATATAGAACACGTGTAAAGTACTCAACGGTCCTGGCCCCTGTAGTTGAATATATTAGCGCAATAACTCGGTCAATCTTAATCGAAAACCCATTCATCAAGTAGCCCACGCACGTAAACTAAATTACAGTGTTGTGTTAATTTCTGGGACGCGTATTAAAAAGTGTTTGGTGCTGTATCTTCATTTATAGGAGAGAAGACACTCGTGTGCTTATTAATTCTAAGGTATGTAAGAAGTTGATATGGAGTATAGGTGCAATAAATGTGGCTTATGTAATAAGGCTGTCGAAGTGAACCTTATAAAGGTCTAGTCTATGGCATTTATGCTCGTGAACAACAGCATCTGCTGAGGTACGTGAGAATATGTAACGAGGATGAAATAGGGTATTATGTTTACAGAGATATTTTATATAAATTGTAAACAACCTTGTGGCCATAATCTTCTCATATGTAGATCGTTTCTGCAATGTCTTTTTGTCGCTTCTGAAACTTTGGTATAAGCTGAGATAATGACCTCCTTTTGAATTATTCCTACGCCGTGCATGTTCTCAAAGTTTTATTATTTCGGACAAGTAAGATCTTCACAAGAATATCTCTATTAGAAGTGAACGACCGAACACAACGTACGTAGAAACTAAAATTAAAAGGTAAATAGTGTCCAATTTGTTTTCCTACAATAAACTAGCTATAACGAGTTATCAATACGAAATAAATAGGCTAGGTTACGATGATACCGATGTATTCGCCAAGAAGTTATTTAGTTTATATATATTCGACCGTCAACTAATTTCAACGTAATTCATTGGATGGAGCAGCACGAAACAAGAGTGCCTAGCAAATTACGGACCAGGCAATAAGTCCAGCAGCTATCTCAATCAATCGTCAGCTATGGAAAGATCGGGTTCCAAAGGCTGGATCCCTTGTGAATCAAGTCACGAAAAGTTCAAGAATCGGCAACAGGCCATGGGCCTATTTCTTCGGTGCCAACACTTCTATTCTATTCTATTCTATTCTAAGAGCTTCCCAAGTCATCAACTCGTTGGCGAGCTATCGACAATTACGTCATCAATGTCAGCAATCAGACAGTCAGCTCTGAAGTCAGCTGGGGGAATTCTCATGCGGTTTATATTTTTCATAAGAGGTCGTCTAGAGCGAGCTTAGTCTACAATTAGTGGTTCATTGATTCTTTTATTTAGGATCTTGTAAGACTTGAATTGTAGAAGATAGAAGGAGCAGCACCTATGCATATATAAGCAAATT